TGAAGCCAGCTCTGATAGGAAAATCTTTTATACTTTTTTTTTTGTTGTTGTTCGTGGGGCTTGAACTCTGGGCTTGGGCGCTGTCCCTATGCTCTTCAGCTCAAGGTTAGCGCTCTACCGCTTAAGCCATAGTGCCACTTTTGGCATTCTAGTGGTTTATTGGAGATAAGAGTCTCATGGACTTTCCTGCCCGGGCTGGCTTTGAACCGCGATCCTCAGATCTCAGTATCCTGAGTAACTGGGATTACAGGCATGAGCTACCGGCACCCAACTTCTTTTATACTCTTATCTCCAATTAACCACCAGAAAACCAGAAATGGAGCTATGGTTCAAAGTGGTAGAATGCTAGCCTTGAGTGAAAAATCTTAGGAGCAGCATTCAGGCTTTGAGGCCCTGAGTCAAACCCCACAGCCAAAACAAAAAACAAAAAAAACTGGGATCCTCAGATCTCAGTCTCCTGAGTAGCTGGGATTACAGGTATGAGCCACTGGCATTGGGCTTGATACTGACCTCTTGGTATGACCATTTCTCTCTTAGAAAATGAAAACTTGCATCCACATGAACACCTGTCCTCAAATATTCAAAGAAGCTTTACTTCTAATAGCTCCCAAATGGAAACAACCAAGTGTCATAATAATGACCAACGTCTTAACTAAATTATGGTTGAGCCATACAATAGACTCCTATTAAGCCATTAAAACACCTTGGAACACACAAGGGAAAAACCTGGAAGCATCATGCTGGGTAGAAGACAGACTTGAAAGGCCACACACTATGAGGTGCCATGCACAGGACAGTTTGAAGAAGCAAAAGGCCACAGAACATTGACCAGTGCTTCCCAAGGGCTGGGCGGGCGCGGATCTGTGAACACTGGCTGGAGGTGGGCCTGCCCGTGGAGATGAACATATACCTGTAGGGGATCTCCCATATGATCACAGCCGGCCCACGCTTCTGTCTCCAGCCCAGACCGAACCCGAGTCCCTGACTTAGGATTCTAAATACTACTTATCATGCCCATCTGAAATTTAAGTTCAGGATAGCTATGCATCTGTGACTCATGCCTGTAATCCTAACTACTCAGGAGACTGTTAGGAAAATGGAGGAGAAAGGAAAAGGAAAAAGCTGGACTCGGTTCTCAACTGGCTAGGAGTGTCTATTGAGGACAATGAGGAACCCAGCCTTCCCGTGGGCTTTGAGACTGAGCTAAGGAGAGTTTTGACTCAGAGTTTTTAATAGAGTCCGAGTGAGGAGACCGAGGTTACTTAAGTTTAGTACTGGGGTGGGGGAGGGTGGGACTGCAGACATGGGCAGAGAATAGGGTAAGTATTCCCTTATCCAAGGTCTCAAGCTTTTTAATGTGATTGATTTATTTATTTAGTCAATTGTGGGGCTTGAACTCTGGGCCTGGGCGCTATCCCTCAGCTCTTCAGCTCAAGGCAAGTGCTCTACCACTTAAGCCACAGCGCCACTTCCGGTTTTCAGTGGTTATTGGAGATCAGAGTCTCACTGACTTTCCTGCCAGGGCTGGCTTCAAACCATGATCTCAGATCTCAGCCTACTGAGTAGCTAGCATTACAGGAGTGAGCCATCAGTGCCTGACTAAGGTCTCAAGTTTTTTGGTTTTTTTTTTTCAAGTTTTTTTTTTTAATGTTCCAACAGCTCTACATCTGTCTTGCCTAGATGGTTTAACCTTCACAGGGTTTAGTTCTGTCTTCCAATCGCTTTAACCCTTTCCTGGCCTCACAGCTCAGCCTCTGAGCCTTACAGGCTAGGCCCACCATGAAATGTTTACAGGCAGACTCAGGTGGGATTGCCCGGCCTGAACCAAGCACACATAGGGTCATAGGGTGGGGGGCAATCCTTCTTTGAGATCTGAGGATCACCACTCAAAGTCAGCCAGGGCAGACAAATCCAAGAGACTCTTGTCTCCAATTAACCAGCAAAAAGCCAGAAGTGGAGCTGTGGCCCAAGTGGTTGAGTGCCAGCCTTAAGTGAAAGAGCCAGGTAAGGGCATAAGGCCCTGAGTTCAAGCCCTAGTACTAGCACAAAAATAAAAATGAGGGGGCTAGGAAAGTGGCTCCGTGGTAGAGTGCTTGCCTGGCATGCATGAGGCCCTGGGTTCAATTCCTCAGCACCACATAAGCAGAAAAAGCTGGCAGCCACACTGTGGCTCAAGTGGTAGAGTGCTCACTTTGAGCTGAGGAGCTGAGGGACAGCGCCAGGCCCAGAGTTCAGGCCTCCCGACTGAAAAATAAAAAATAAACAAATTAGATATGAGGTCTTTGAGCAGCTTCTCACACCCCCCCCAACCCCACCCCATTCCCCATTTCAGTTTAAGAAAGCTCCGTGTATCTTCCAGAGATACTGGCTACAAACCCTAACCCCATCTGGATTCCTCTCTCCTTGGAATCCTGTTGGCTCCACCTTCATACTGCCTCCACAGCTGCTTTTCACCTGAATCAGGACAATGGGTTTCTAACAGTCTCCTGGGTAGTACCCTGACTCACAGTACAGTAAATAGGGTACTTGTGTGAAACTGTCAGGCCGCAGGCCAGGTGTGGTAGCACACTCCTATAGTCCCAGCTCCTTAGAAGGCAGAGATAGGAGAATAAAGTTTCAAGGCTGGCCCAGGCAATGCTAGCATGAAAGCTATCTACAAAAACAAAGTAAAGCTAGCAGGCTAGAGAGTGATTCAACTGGTAAAGCACTAGCCTAGCAAGCTCAAAGGCCCGAGTTCAATCCTCACTATCACAAAGAAGAAAAAAAATAAACAAATTTATTAGAAGCCAGGTGTTGGTGGCCCACATCTATAATCCTAGCTATTCAGGAGGCTGGGATCTGAGGATCACCGTTCAAAGTCAGCCTGGGCAGGAAAGTCTGTGAGAGTCTTATCTCCAATGAACCACTAGAAGACTAGAAGTGGCGCTGTGGCTCAAGCGGTAGATTGCTTGTGTTGAGCTGAAGAGCTGAGGGACAGTGCCTAGGCCCAGAGTTCAAACCCCACAACCAATTTAAAAAAAATCTTGTTGGATTATGCCTCTCCTCTCCCAGGTTGATTCTTCAAAAATAGATTATCATTTGCTTCTCAACTCTCTAGCTGCTCAGAGCAAAAGCCAAAACAGCCATTGAGACTCTCCTGTCCGCCTGTCTTGAGACCCAGGCTTCTCCGGAGTCCGTGTGCTTTAGCCACACTGGCTTCCCTGATGTCTTTCAAGTCTGCAAGTCCTGCCTCAGGACTTTGCACACACTGCTTCATTCATTAGCTCTGCCCTCCCTTCAGATCTCCCATGTCCTGCCTCTTACCACCTTTGAGCCTGTGCCCAGGTATCCGTTTCTCAATTCTTACCTTTTCCTGTGTAGCACTTGAGACCCTCTAATTGTGTATGTGTAGTGTGTGTGTGTGTGTGTGTGTGTGTGTGTGTGTAATGGGGCTTAAATCAGGGTCTCTCTTGGATAGGCTCATGGTTGGTACTCTTCCAGCTGAGCTATACCTCCATTTCAGGCTTTTTTTTGGTCGGTCGTGGGTCTTGAACTCTGGGCCTGGGCACTGTCCCTCAGCTCTTCAGCTCAAGGCTAACACTCTACCACTTGAGCCACAGTGCCACTTCCAGTTTTCTGGTGGTCAACTGGAGATAAGAATCTCACAGACTTTCCTGCCCAGGCTGGCTTTGAATTGTGATCCTCAGATCTCAGCCTCCTGAGTAGCTAGGATTATAGGTGTGAACCACCGGCTCATTTCAGGCTCTTTGCTGGGTAACTGGGGAGAAGCAGCTTGCCAATTTGTGTATCTGGGCTGACTCTGAACTGAGGTCCTCCTATTTACACTTCTAACATAGTTGGGATGACAGGTCCTTACCACCAAACCCACCTTTGTCTTATTAGTTGAGATGGAGTCTTGACAGCTTTTTCCTTGGGCTGGACTTAAACTGTAATTCTCCATATTTCAGCCTTCCAAGTAGTAGGATTACAGGTGTGAGCCACCACATGTGGCTGAAGTCAGGTAAGTTAAGTGCTGAGTTTGGAACCCAGAGCCTTGTGCATGCTGAGTAAGAGCTTGCTGCTGTGCTACATCCTCAGCCAGTCCTTGCCAGTTTAATCTCGGCGGTGACCCCACACCCTATCTTGGCACCGAGCAGGAGCTCAGTCGATCCACTGAAGGAAGACAGGGGCACTTGAAGAAGTGACTGGCCCAAGGTCACAGCCCTCCAGGACTAACGGCCCAAAGTCCTTCCCACAGTCACGGCAGGTGCTGGCCCTCACCCCTAGGTCAGAGCTCAGGGATGGTCCAACCTCAGAGGGCACCTGTGGGGTTCTACCAGAACTGGGGTGCTCACACAGCGGGGGAGATGCCAGGACCGGGGTCCCTGCCCTGAAGGAGGCTAGGGCTGCCAAGGGCAAGGAGCCATGTCCTCCTCACCCCTCCAGACCCCAGATAGCTGTGGGGTCTGGAAGCCTGGTCTAGACAGCTAGAGGAAGGAAGAAGGGCCAGAACAGCCCAAAACCTTGGAGCTGTGACTGCCTCCCTGGCCCCAGGATCCTGTGCATCACCCTCCTTTCCACTTCCATTGCCATCACTGACCAGCAGGGGGCGCGCTGGTCCACAAAGTCCTAGCTGCGCCTCTAGAGGCACCACTGCTCCTCGCCCGCCTCTTGTCGGCTGGGCCTTCGGCAGGCATGAAGTGGGGCGGGGGACAGGGGTCTCATTGACAGCTCTTAGCTGGCAAGGGCTCAACCTAACCAGCAAGGTGAGGCTGGTGATAACCATGTCAGCTCCACCAGGCGATCACTTGTTGCCCAGTTATTTGATAGCTACTCAGCTCAAGACGTAAAGTCTTCCCAAATCTACCAAAGGAGACAAGACTGCCCAAGAGGAGTGGCTCCTCTCCAAGACAGCCAGCAGGAGGCGATGCTGGGCCGGTTGATCCTCCTCCCCTGGCTGTCCAACACTGTCCCCCGTTCCAACCCAGGCCAGGAAAGATGCAAAGCGATTCAGCCATGAGTAAAGAAGTATAAAGTGCAAATACAGCAGGCTTTTATTGAGGGCCTACTATATACTAAGCACCAGGCCTGCAGTGTCCACTTCCCTGTTCTTCCCATCAACCAAGAGGGTGTTGGTGAGGTCCAGGTATAGAGCCAGGGAGGAGACTGAGGAGGAGGTAGACAGGGACAGAAGGGTCCAGGAGCTGAATTCTCGGGGAACATAGACTCTGGGGTCAATCCAGCTTCACCCTGGAAGCCGAGGTCCAAGGCCTGCATTGAGGCCCACACTTTCACTATGTGGCTTTCTCACTTGCTGCTCTACCACCCGAGCCATGACTTCAGCTTGGCCTTTTGATAGTTCATTGCTGGTGGAATCTCCCAGACTTTTCTGCCCAGTCTTCTAGGACCCAGCTTCCTGAGTAGCTAGGATTAAAGGTCTGTGCCACTGGCAGCTGGCTGGGCTCCATCTTGAATGGAGGGCAGAGTGGCCAAACTTAAGCTGACAGCGAGGTGTGTGCTGGCTCCTGGTGACTCCTGCCAGTAATGTCTCCCTCTGCTCCAGGCACTCTTGCTCAGACCTGGGCCAAGAAAGGCAGGGAGAGAGAAACAAAGAGTGAGAGTGTGAAACAATCAAAGAGAGACAAATGCCAGCATATAGGGAGAGATGGAGCCAGATACAGGCAGAGGGAAAGAGCTACAGAGAGACAGAGAGACAACCAAAGACACAGAGACAAAGATAAAGCTGGACACCGACAGAGACAAGATGGCTAAGAAGAAGGAAACGGAGCCAGACCATCTTGTCTGAGGAGAGGAGAGGAAGCCCAGAGGGCAGGACTGGGGGCTCTTCCTGGCCTCACCTAGAGCTCGTCCCGGGGATTGGGGTGAAGGCTGTGCCCATTGCTGCCAGCCAGGTCCAGGCTGGGGCCACGCAGGGACTTCTGGGAGCCAGTCCAGCTGATGATGCGGCCGCTGTCATCATCCCAGGGGGAGGATGTCTCTGTGTCGCTGAGCCATTCGCTGTCCCCCGCGTAGTGGGTGGGGGCGGCAAGCAGGGGCTGGGCAGAGAAGGCCTGCAGGTCCCGAGGCCAGAAGTGTGCCTTGTACTGCTCACTGTGAGGCGGGAAGACACTGATGTGTGCAGAGGAGACTCTTCTTCCTGTCCCCACCCAGCCCTGGCAGAGCCCTGCCTCCCCATCCCCCAACACTCACAGCAACCTGAGAAATGGGACTTCTAATATCCCCATTTTCCAGATAGAGAAACTGAGGCTCAAACCAAAGTCATCATTTCACTAAAACCTGGAGAGGACCAGGAGCAGTGGCTCATGCCTGCAATACCAGCTACACGAGAAGTAGAGATCAGAAGGTTCTAAGCCGGAGGCCAACGCAGCAAAAAAAAGTTTGCAAGATCCTTTCTCAATCTCAAGCTGGGCATAGTACTACATGATTGTCATCCTAGCAGAGTAGGTGACAATAAATAGGATCAAGATTACAGGCTGGCTGGGAAGGTGGCTCAGTGGTAGAGTGCTTGCCTTGTATGCATGAGGCCCTGGGTTCCATTCCTCAGCACCACAGAAGCAGAAAAGGCAGGAAGTGGCACTGTGGCTCAAGTGGTAGAGCGCTAGCCTTAAGCTGAAGAGCTGAGGGACAGCGCCCAGTCCACAGTTCAAGCCACACAACCAACAACAACAACAATAACAACCAAAAAGCTTACAGGCTGGCCTGGCCAATAAATACATAATTTAAGTAAGTAAGTAAGATCTTATTTGAAAAATAATTAAGATCAAAAGGGCCAGGAGCATGGCTTAAACAGTAAAGTGTCTTGTTAAAAAGTAAGAGGCCCCAGCTGAACACTGGTAGCACATGCCTGTCATCCTACTCAGGAGGCTGAGATCTAAGGATCACAGTTCAAAGCCAATCTGGGCAAGAAAGTCTATGAGATGCTTATCTCCAATTAATCACAGAAAAAGCCAAAAGTGGTGCTGTGGCTCAAGTGGTAGAGTGCTAGCCTTCGGCAAAAGAGTTCAAGAACAACAACCAGGCCCAGAGTTCAAACCCCAAAACTGTCCCCCCCAAAAAAGGAAAGAGGCCCTGAATTCAAACCCTAATACTACCAAGACAAACACCCTCCCCCTACACACACAGGACAGCACAGCGTTCACACCTGTGTCTGAGTGGACCTCACTAATCTCTGCCACCCAGTGAGAAGCCTCCCCCATTCCAAGCCTCACTTGGGGTGCTGGTCAGACATGATGGGCAGAAACTCATCCACAGGCAGCATGCGGTGCAGAGGCTGGGAGGCCAGCAGCTTGCGGGCCCCGGCCAGACTCAGGGCATACGCCAGTGTCCAGTAGGAGTACCCAGCCACCACCAGGCCAGGGAACCCCTCCACAGCCAACTCCTCCTCAGGGTTCACCTGCTTCCGGCCCAGGTAGCTGTGGGTGACACCAAGAGCCCCAGGTCACTTTATCAGACCTGGGGTACCCTAGGCCCCCTCCTCACAGCCCCCTGTGACAGGGTCAGACTCTGTGGGAAGGGCTGGCCAGAAACCCAAGCAGGAGGCAGTGGACACCAGCAGCCACCCTTGTCCCTAGGGGCACAGGCCACCTACATCAGGTCCCATGGGAGTTTGTGGGTCGCCACGTCCTCCATCAGCCGCACCAGCCTCCCCCGGAAGTTGCTTTTAAAGTGCACATCATCTTCAAATACCAGGACCTGGGCCAGGCCTCTGGCCACCACCTGTGGTACAAGGAGATGGGAGGGGACTACAGAGGCAAGCTTTCCCCTTCCCACCTGCCTGAAGCCAATCATCTGTGCAGCCCTCAGCTACCTGCCGCATGCAGAGCCCTGGCAGTACCGTGCAGCCACTCCCAAGTCCGCTGGGCGCCCCTGGCTGGGGACTGCCATCAGCCTTGCCCTGGCATCGAAGGCCCCCGGGACCCTAGTCTAACTTTCAGAGATCCTCATGGCAGTTACCACCCTTGCTGGGTTCACTGAGCACTGACACATCCCACAGGGTCCTGCTCATCTCCCAGGGGCTCACAAGGCAGGAAGGAAAGCAAGTGGACACCAGAAAGGGAGAATGCGTGCCCATAGCTTATAGCCGGAAGTGGCAGGTCCAGGGTTTCAACCTGCAATTGCTCGGCTCCAGGGCCCAGTCTGTCAAGTCAACCTCCTGAGCTTCCTTATGGAAACTGGTCTGGGCCCTCACATCTCAGTGCCAGGCACTGGTGGCTGACACCTGTAATCCCAGCTACTCAAAAGGCTGAGCTCTGAGGATCATGGTTCAAAGCCAGCCTGGACAGGAAAGTCCATAAGACTCTTATCTCCGATTAACCCTCAGAAAACCAGAAGTAGAACTGTAGCACCAAGTGGTAGAGCACTAGCCTTGAGCTGAAGAGCTTCACAATATAACAAAAAGAAAAAGGGGGGCGGGGGGAAGATTTCTTCAAGTAACTTTGGAAAATGTGAAAAGAACGTGAAATCAGCTCAGTAAATGGCAAACTTACTCATCGTCCCTCAATATTTACAGAATTTTTTAAAAAAGACAAATACAAACTTAAGCTTATACATACCCATATATTTTTGTTAGAAAATAAAATAAAAACAGAGAGACAGATATGGTGGCTCATGACTGTAATCCCAGCACTCAGGAAGCTGACACTGAAAGAACACAAGTTTGAGGGCTACATAGCAAGACCTTGTAAGCAAGACTCATATCAATAAGAGAAAAAGAAAGAGAATAGGGAAATGGGGAAAGGAAAAGAAAAAGAGACTCAAAGTCAGTGCAGGAGGCTCAGACCTATAATCCTAGCTATTCAGAAGGCTAAGATCTGAGGACTGAGGTACAAAGCTAGTCTGGACAGAAAAGTTCATGAGACTCTTATTTACAATTAGCTAGCAAAAAGCCAGAAGTGAATCTGGGGCTCAAATGATAGAGCATTAGCCTTGAGTGAGAAAGTTCAGGGACAGCATCCAGGCCCTAAGTTCAAGCCCTAGTACCAGCACACACACACAAATTTAAAGCCAGGTGAAGATGTGGCTTAACTGGTAGAACACCAGTCAAGGAAAAAGCAAGATTCCAGGCTGGGGAGGTGGCTCAGTGGTAGACTGGTTGCCTTGCATGAATGAAGCCTTGGGTTCGATTCCTAAGTATCATGCAAGCAGAAAAAGTTGGAAGTGGTGCTGTAGCTCAAGTGGTAGGATAGAGTGCTAGTCTTGAGCAAAAGAAGCTCAGGGACAGTGCCCAGGCCCTGAGTTCAAGCTCTAGGACTGGCAAAAAAAAAAAAAAAAAGAAAAGCTTTCGAGAGTAAAGCAAAAACAGAGGTTAGAGTTTAAGGGCAGCACAGGCATGAAGGTTCCTGAGTCTCCATCTGAACCAATTGCTGGGGTGGTCGCACAAGTGTGTTCTGGTTCTAAGGGAAGCATAATGACATACAGTCCAGACCAGCCCAGCATAAAGCAAGTCTCTACCTCAAGAATAACCAATAACAAGTCAGGTGCTGGTGGCTCACGCCTATAATCCTAGCTACCCAGGAGGCTGAGATCTGAGGATCACCTTTCAAAGCCGGCCCAGGCAAGACAGTCTGTGAGACTCTTATATATAATAAATTACTCAGAAAAAGCTGGAAGTGCACTGTGGCTCAAATGGTAGAGCACTAGCCTTGAGCTCAGGCTCAGGGACAGGGCCCAGACTCTGGGTTCAAGCCCTGGGACTGGCAAAAAAGAAAAGAGAACAACCAATAACCAATGCAAGAAGAGGATGAACACATAGCTCAAGTGGTAGAGCGTCTACAAGGGCAAGAGGAAGAGGAGAGCAGCCCACACCTGTCTATCCCCCTTGCCTCCAATGCGAGCTCTTGACTTCTCTTGACTTCTGTGCCCTGCTCTGATCCCTGAGCCCTGCAGCAATGTGTTCCTCTTACAGGAGGAGAGAGAGTGCCCCCTCCTGGGTCCTCAGAACAGAACACCTCCAAGTACAAGGCGGGTACTCAGCAGAGATGCCAGGATAAGGGCAGTGCTCGGTGATGTCCACACAGCGTTGGACAGAGGCGGTGCATCGCTGCTGAGTGTGTGTCTGTGAGGCATGCCATGACTAGGGCAAGCTGTCCCCTGCTGTCCCAGAAGGGTGCGGCCCGGAGCGCAGGCATGCTCACCTCCTCCCAGATGGAGTAGTGGCTGAGGAAACAGCCGATCTCGCCCTTGGTCAGCGTGCGGCCTGAGTAGGGGTCCTGGTAGCCCGGGAGCAGGTCTACACCCAGGGTCCTGAGGATGCTTCTGTTGAGCAGCCTGCAAAACACACCTGGTTAACAGGTTCTGCAGAGGGGCCTCCCCTGGGCCCCTGGGGACAGTCACTCTGGAGTCTGGTTTGAAGGAGGCTGAAGTACTGTGCCTCCTTTCTGTGCCCTGAGCTGTCAGCAACTTTCCTGGAGAACCTGGCGCCAACTTTGGGGAAGCCTCACATGTCTCTGTTTACACCAGCGGCTCCTCCTGAGGGGGAAGTACCTCAGGAGGAATGTGGGCAATATGCTAAAGACTTCCTGGGCAGACACTGAGCAAAGAGTAGACATCCTCAAGTCCTAAGAGCTGGGAGAGCTGGTGCCCGTGGCTCACACCTATAATCCCAGCTACTCAGGAGGCTGAGATCTAAGGATCTTAGTTCAAAGCCAGGCTGGCCAAGAAAGTCCATGAGACTCTTACACTTAGCAATCAAAAACTCAGAAGTGGGGGCTGGTAATGTGACTCAGTGATAGAGTGCTTACCTAGCATGCATGAAACCCTTAGTACCATATAAACAGAAAAAGCCAGAGTGGTGCTGTGGCTCAAGTGGTAGAGTGCTAACCTTGAGCAAAAGAAGCTCAGAGACAGCGCCCAGACCCTGAGTTCAAGCCCCAGGACTGGCAAAAAAGCTCAGGGACAATACTCAGGCCCTAATTTCAAGCCCCAGGACTGGCACAGGGAGGTGAGGGGGCGGAGTCAGAGGCTTTTGAAGGGAACCCCAGAAGGTAGATGGGCCACATGCCCCTGGAGTGCCCTGGGGAACACAGCTGCCTGAGCCCAGCACTACCCATCAGGGTCCTAAGTCCAGCACAGAGAAGAACCATCCTGAGACGCCTAGTGCTTTGGAGCTGATGGGTCCTGGCTGGATCTTTCACTGGGAACTGTAGGAGAGAGACACTGGTTATGTACCACTTATACAATAGGGTTCAGAGATGGGGGTGACTGACCAGTAGTGATGGTAAGCACGGTGCTGGGACCCAACCCTGGGGTCTTAAGCTCTACACTGCCCTCCCCACCCCTCCCACCCCCGCAACAGGCTGAGGAAGGGCGTCAATGTCCTATGTCAGTCTATCCCAGAATTGCCTGAGCCAGCAGCACCCAGGTCCTATGTGGATACTTCTTAGATCCCGGAACTAGGAGCTCAGAGATGGAATCCACTGTCTCCCCAGGCTCTCCATTCCCAGAAGCCTCACCGGCCATCCACAGCGTCCACCACACGCCCGGAGATCTCCATCTCCCAGAGGGAGCTCAGCATGCGAGCCCGCCGTTGGGGCCTGCGGGCCAGGCCAATGACGAAGACCTGTGGGAAACACACAGGTGAGTGCACGACAGGGAAGGCAGAGACCCATCCGTCCTACCGCATCCCCAAGCTGGGGCCTTACCTCATCAAAGCCCAGCTTGCTGGGCCTCTTCGGGGGCTGAGACACATGCGCTGAGGCCTGCATGGGGGGCCCAGACACTGCAAAGGGAGGCACCTCCCAATCAGACGTCTGCAGGCTCCTGTTGTCCACCCTGGGTCCCAGCCCCCTGCCTGTTCCCACTCTCCTCACCTAAACACCGGACACAAGGAGTCCACCTGTCCCCATCACACAGATGGGGAGACTGAGGTCCCACAGGGAAAGGGGCTGGCTTAGCATCAAGGCAAGAGTTAGGGGCAAGGCTGGCACCCCAAGCACACTTATGTCTGGCCTGGGAGAAGAGCTCGGAGGGGAGTAGGGGGCCATCAGACAGGCTCCCGGCTCTCACCTAGCGCTTCCAAGATCAGGTGGACAAAGTTGACCTTCTCGTCCTCCAGCCCCTGGTGTGGTTGCACTGCCACGTTCATGTACCCGAATCGGTGCTCATTGCACACATGCACTGAGACCCCTGCAGAGAGGCTAGGTCAGACATGGCTCTCAGAACCCAGCAGAGGCGCCTAGGCCTAGAACTGCCAGTGACCCAAACCATGAGTCCTCCTGGCCTCAGCTTCCCCATGCAAGTAAGAGTGGCTTGCCCAGAATCTAAGGAGCCTTTCTCCTGCAGTTCTCCCAAGACAGTTTGTTCCCTCAACAAATCTTTTCTTCCTTCCTGAGAGCCCTGGTGCAAAAGCTGTGTGCTGAGGACAAAACCACTGGTCACAGAATGCCTTCAAACCACTGACCACCGACCAATTTGCTACTGAAGCCAGGGTAGCAGAGCAAGGTTTTCTCTCTCTCTCTCTCTCTCTCTCTCTCTCTCCCTCCATCTCTCTGATGGTCCTGGGCTTGAACTCAGGGCCTAAGTGCCACCCCTGAGCTTTTTTTTGGTCAAGGTTAACACTCTACCATTTGAGCCACAGGTCTACTCCTGGCTTTTCAGTGGTTAATTGGCATCTCACAGACTTTCCTGTCTGAGCTGTCTGGCTTTGAACTGTGATCTTCAGATCTCAGCCTCCTAAGTAGCTTGGATTACAGGGATTACAGGTGTGAGCCACCAGTGTCTGGCTGTTTCCTGTTTTAGTGCCTGCCCATACTTTAGATCTCAGCCCAAAAGTTTCCCCAGCATGCCTTCCCTGACCAGATCATATCTGGTCTAAGTTCCCAGATACCTACAGTCAAGAAACTTTCCGCCACACTGTGGTTGGTATTGATTGTGAGATCCTCTGACAGGACTGGAGGCTCCAGGAGGACAGGGATTCCCTGCTCTCCCCTCACTGGTCTCCCCAGCACCCATTACATGTTGAGTGCTCCCTCACATACAAGTGGCACAATGGGAACAGCATCTAACCTACCAGCAGTGGATTTAAGAAAGGCTGTAGCCAGGTGCTGGTGGCACACGCATGTAATCCTAGCTAATCAGGAGGCTGAGATGTCAGGATTATGGTTCAAAGCCAGCCAGCCCAGACAGGAAAGTCTGTGAGACTCATGGTAAGTCCCCATGAGACTCTGATCCCTAATTAACCACTCAAAAACCAGAAGTGGAACTGTGGCTCAAGTGGTAGAACACTAGCCTTGAGCTGAAGAGCTCAGGGACAGCGCCCAGGCCCAGAGTTCAAGCCCTACAACTGACTCTCTCTCTCTCTCTCTCTCTCACACACACACACAGACACACACAGACACACACACACACACACACGGCTATAAGCTGGGTGCCAGTGGCTAACACCTGTAATCCTAGCACTTCCAGAAGCTGAGATCTGAGGATCACGGTTTGAAGCCAGCCCAGGCAGAAAAATCCCTGTGAGACTCTTATCTCCAATTAGCCACTCAAAAACCAGAAGTGGAGCTGTGGCTCAAGTGATAGAGCACAAAGAGGCTCAGGGACAGTGCCCAGGACCTGAGTACAAGCTTCACACACACACACACACACACACACACAAAGCTATGACACAAAGGGGAACTGACAAGCAGGAGTTGACCAGATGAAATGCAGAGTGGAAAAGGGCTTGTTAAGCAGAGGGGTTGGCAGGTGCAAAGACCCAGGGGCTTCTAAGGATGAATTATTCTCAAGGAGAGCTGGTCCTCACCAGCGGCCTCACAGGAATAGGCGAAGACAATGATGTCATCGAAGGGCCAACTGTAATTGGGATGAGGTGGATAGAAGGCCAGCTGAGCTGTTCCTTTATCTCGCAGGGACACCAAGAAGGTGGAGTGGACCATGGGAACGCGGAAACAGCCTCGGCGCTGGCGGTTCTTGGTGGGGAAGTACTCGGCTGTGCGGCGGTAGTAGCCCTGGGGAACAGGGAAGCTTTGGGCCCAGGGCCACCTGCACCAAAGCCCAAAGACCCCTTCAGGCCCTTCCTCCTGGGCCCTCAAGCCTCCAGAGGCCTCACCTGAGGGGTGATGCCACACCAGAAGTTGGAATAGTAGGTCTGGGAGTCCAGCATGGGGGCCACCACGGGTAGCCCCTGCTCCATCAGAAACCGCAGTGTCTGGTTGTTAGTCAGAATGTTGTCCGTGTCTGCAAACTTTGAGGAAGGGGGTGTCACAGGTCCTCGCCCCACTCAGGGCTGTAGGCTCTACCCCCAGGAGTTCACTGAGTAAAATCCCCCTAGAGTCCCTCCAGGTATACTTCAGGAGGCCTAAACGATACCCCAAGTAGATCTATTTCTTCTAAGGATCTAGTCTGGGATGCTGAGATTAGAGATCAGGCCTGAGTAGCTGATCTAAGAGAGCTGGCTTAGAAAATGGATCCAAAAACCTACTCTGAGTCCTAGTCTGGGGATCTAGGCTCAGTTTATATTCCAAGCACTAGCCTAGGAATCTTGATTTAGTGTATCCCCTAGGATCTATCTCTGGGATCCAGGCTTAATACCTAGATTGGGCTCAAACATAGATATTCAAGTTCAGCACCTGATCTAGGCTCTGAAAGATCCAGCCACCAACCATGGTAGTTCAGCCACACCAAGACTTTGTGAAGGGCAGATGGATGCCACCACCTTTCAAAAGCCAGACTTCCTTACCAGGATGTAGTCAGCCCCCCAGTCTCTGGCAAAGGTCAAGGCCTCCTGCTTCAACTCCATGAGAAACTGGTGCCTTTCTCTGGTCCAATGCTTAGGACCCTCTTCATCTGGGTAGAACCTGAGGTGGGAAAGAAATGAGCAGTTCCCATGGCGTTAGTGCCTCCCTCTCTACATGGCAGGGACATAAGGACATGGCCCTCCCTGCCCGGAGGCTGGGACCCCCGCACTGTTCTCCATCTTCCCCAGTACCCTTGCCCTCAGGTTACCACCTGGCCTCTCCCTCTGGCCTCCAGACCACAGCTGCATAGTCATCGCCCACAGCTGCCAGCCACTCCTGCAGCATCCCCGTCGTGTTGTCAATGTTGTGGTCAGTGGCACACCTGGGGACACAGGAGGAAAGAGGGGATACAGCCACAGCAAGACTGAACAGTATGGTGATCGTGATCCCCAAACACGAACAACCTCCCCTGGGAGCAGTGGCATATAAGGGGGTGGGGGGTATACAGTGGAGGGATGCTAGGTTCCAACTAGTATTGAATCAGACAATTCCTAACTTTTCCTGTTTATTTCCTTCCTTGGTAACTTTATTGTTATTTATTTTTTGTCAGTCGTGGGGCTTAAACTCTGGCCCTGAGCACTGTCCCTGAGCTCTTCAGTTCAAGGACAGCACTGTACCACTTGAGCTACAGCACTACTTCTGGTTTTCTGGAGATAAGAGTCTCCCAGACTTGCCTGCCCGGACTGGTCTTGAACCTTGACCCTCAAATGTCAGCCTCCTGAGTAGGTAGGGTTACAGGCATGAGCCACCAGGGTCTGGCTCCTGTGTAACTTTATTAAGCATCCTGTCTAGGTTCAAGTGGAGACTAAAGATGATGGCATTGTGAAAGATGAAAACCTGGACTTCATATTCATCTCACCTGCCACATTCCCTAGTTACTTACCTTCCTTTCTTGCTGTGGGACTAAGTGTAATCCAGGCCCTTTGCTTTTCAGAATCAGGATCAGACAAAAGATCTGCTGCTTTTCTTTATCCTAAGTTGTAATGAACACCAAACCATGCTCTGAACATGGATGAACCCAAGCTCTGTTATCATGCAGCAATCTACCCTCTCCGGGGGAGGGGGCTCTCATGATGGAGGTGGGGGGCTGAACCAAGAGCCTAGGTTTTAGGTGATGCTGCCCCTTTAAGCCAATTGCCTAGAAGTGAAGACTAACTACGTGTCAAGTCCTACAGGGGTGGGAACTAACTCCCAAACTGTGGTGATTGTGGGCTGGGCGGCCTCCCCAAGCCTCGGCTCCACCCAAGCCCAAGTTTGTTGTGCTATGAGGGGTAGTTTGTCCCCAGTCTCAGCTTGGCACTCATCCTTGTTCTGGGTTTTATAGTCAAAGGAGTTGTGGCCTTTGGTTTCATGTCCTGCAGGGACCCTAGAGGGAGGTCCGGGGAGGGAGCGGGTCATTGCCCTTGGCCGCAGGTCCCCACAGGGAGCCGGCCTGACTCCCTGCACAGCACAGAGCCCTGGGCCCACAGGACCCCACCTGCTACCCGGACCTCCAATCTGGCAGATCTCTGCCACGTTGATCTCCAGGGGACCCTGGGGATCCCTCTCGGCTGCAACCCAAGTTCAAGAGAACATAGGTCCCACGGGGGTGTGGCTGGGGCTCGGAGGGTCGTCACAAGCAGGGCTGGGCCCAACTTGCACCCAGAGGAGGCCCAGGTGGGAAGTACGGGTGGGTGCAACTGCTCTGAGGTCTGTCCAGGCTCCCGGGGCGCCAGGAGTTCTGTCTGGGCCTGGGGCCACCCAGGGGGAGGCCCCTCCCCGCGCCGGGGGCTCGGGGCCCAGGGGGTGCCCACACCCGCCTCTCACCAGAGGGCCAGTCTGGCCCGGGGGTAGTCCAGCCGCTCCAGCGCGCCCAGGTAGTGGGGCAGCGAGTGCTCGGCATTGCGGGCCAAGATGGCAAGGACCACGGTGGGCAGAGGCGGCTCCGCCACCCCTGAAGCCTTCAGCCCTGGTGGTCCCAGCAGGAACAGCAGCTGGAGCAACCGGTGCCAGGGGGCGGCCGGGGCGACGCGCATGGCCGGCGCTCAGCGGTGGCGGCGGCGGCCCCCTTCCTCCCCCGCACCCGCTCCCCACAGCGGGAGGAGCGGGAGCTGGTGGGCGTGGTCTCCGAGGGGCGGGGCCAGCCAGGGCGTTGTTGTGTGGGCGTGGTCTTGCTCTGTGGGCGGGGTCTGATTGCGGCTGGGCGGGGCCGACGCCGAGGTAGTGCCCTTGCAGAGTTGGGTTCGGGCTCCCCACCGGGGTCCTAGATGCTGAGGTCCGCTCCTCCGCGGGAGCCCGGGGGAACGAGCGCCTGACACCGGCTCCCGCAGCTTCAGGCCTGATCCCGAAGGCGGGAAGACGGTTGGAGTGATAGCCTGGAGCGGATCGAGCGTGGGGTCCTGCACCCCAAGGGTTCTCCCCTGGAATCTGCGGTGCCCGCATCCCGACTCCACGGCCCTAGCGCGGACCTAGAAGCCGCCACGCGCGCGGCAGACCCCAGCGCGGCGCCGCCTGCGGCCCAGCCTACGGCCCGGGCGCCCTCTGGTGGACCCAGACGGGAATTCGCAGACAGGCCGGGGCTTCCTCCCGGGCAAGGGAGGAAGCCCCCTTTTTGAAGCGGGGACCAGACCCCCAGACCTGGGCCATCCTGCGGGAGTCCACGCTGGGCGTCCCTGCGCATCGCAGCCCTCGCCTCAGTCACCCGCACCAGCACCGCTCCGGTCCTAGAAGAGAGCAAAGCCGACTCTGGAACAGAACTTGGGGGCACCACAGGGCCGTCTCGGGGGACCTGGTGTTCTCCATAGCTTGGGATACAATCTCTCTGGTCCTAGGACCCTGCTGGGATGCAAGGGAACCTCCAGGCTCTCAAGGAAGGCAGGAAAGAGGAGGGGCCTAGAGGTGCCCCACCATTTAGCTGGATATCTGCCACCAAGGGCACACAGATCACTTTGCCTGAAGTTGGCGGGTGGCACCATCTCAGGGGAGGGTTTGAGGAATTCCCTGAGACTTGAGGCTTCTCTGTCAGCTCCCCTCCCTCCACCCTCCACCTTCCACCTGTATGGCCTACTTCTGGCAGGGCACCTTGGGCCTCCTTCAGCATCTTCTTGAGCTTAGGAAGGGGACTAGGTTGACTTAGCTGTCTCCACTGGGAGGAGAGGCTGAGCTTACCCGGTGATGAAGCCGCAGGTGGGGCATGAACCCGGGGGTCAGCTCTTCAACCCAGCTCCAGAGCTTCCACCAGGCTCTGAGCACAGCTTTCAGTTGGGTCATTTCCAGACCAGGGAGTCCTGCAAGGAGAAGGTCCAATGGAGCCATCTTAAAGGGATACAGGAATCCCCTCCCTTGCTTCATAGCCATGGAAGGCAGGGATTTTCGTCACAAAGGTAAGTCAACGGGGCTGGGAAGGTAGCTCAGCGGTAGAGTGCATGCCTTGCAAGCATGAGGCCCTGGGTTCGATTCCTCAGCACCACATAAGCAGAAAAAGCCGGAAGTGGCGCTGTGGCTCCAGTGGTAAAGCACTAGCCTTGAGCTGAAGAGCTGAGGGACAGCGCCCAGGCCCAGAGTTCAGGCCCCATGACCGGCAAAAAAAAAAAAAAAAAAAGCTAAGTCAACTCCCAGAGTCCTCCAGCCTTTTGGTCATGAGGGTACTGTCTGTGGTCTGAATGTCTGTGACCCTAAGCTTTCAGAAGTGAAACCTCACAGCTCAGTGGTAGAGTGTTTGCCTTGCATGCATGAGATCCTGGCTTCAATTCCTCAGCACCACATAAGCAGAAAAAGCCAGAAGTGGCGCTGTGGCTCAAGTGGTAGAGCACTAGCCTTGAGCTGAAGAGCTTGAGGGACAGTGCCCAGGCCCAGAGTTCAGGCCCCACACCGACCAAAAAAAAATAAGAAAAGAAATTGAAACCTCAGCACCCGTGTCATGATGGAGCCACTGGACACCCGTAGATCACACCTGTCATCCTAGCTATTCAGAAGGCTCAGACATGAGGATTGAAGTTCGAAGCCAGCCTGGGCAGGAAAGTCTGTGATACACATCTCCAATTAACCAGCAAAAAGCTGACTCAAGTGGTAGAAGACCAGCCTTGAGCAAAAAAGCTAAGGGACGGCAACCAGGCTTTGAGTTCAAGCATACACATACACATGACAGAGAGAGACAGACAGACAGACAGAGACAGAGAGACAAAGAGAGACAGAGACAGCCCTTAGGAGGTGAAGAGATCAAGAGGGGTCCACCCTCATGAGAGATCAGTGTCCTTATAAGAGATCTGAGGACTGGGAATGTGTAGAGTACTTGTCTGGCATTCATGAAGCTCTGGGTTCAATTCCTCAGTACCACATAAATGGAAAAAGCTGGAAGTGGTGCTGTGGCTCAAGTGGTACAGCGCTAGCCTTGAGCAAAAGCAGCTCAGGACAGTGCCCAGGTCCCCTGAGTTCAAGCCCTAGGATGCGAGAGAGAGAGAGAGAGAGAGAGAGAGAGACCTGAAAGGCCTTGGGTCCCAGCCTCAGCATTAAAAAAGAAAAATGAGGGCTGGGAAGATGGCTCAATGGTAGAGTGCTTGCCTTGCATGCATGAGGCACTGGGTTCGATTCATCAGCACCACATAAGCAGAAAAAGCCGGAAGCTGTGGCTCAAGTGGTAGAGCACTAGCTTAAGCTGAATAGCTGAGGGACAGTGCCCAGACCCAGAGTTCAGGCCCACGATCGGCCAAAATAAATAAATAAATAAATAAAAATAAACAAAAAAAGAAAAAGAAGCCAGGAACTGGTAGCTACTCAGAAAGATGACATCTGAGGATTGTAGTTCAAAGCCAGCCTGGGCAAAAAAGTCTATGAGACTCTTATCTACAATTAACCACCATAAAACTGTAAGTGGAACTGTAGCTCAAAGTGGTAGACCAAGCCAGACACCGGTGGCTCATGCCTGTAATGCTAGTTACTCAGGAGGCTGAGATCTGAGGATCATGGTTCAAAGCCAGCCTGGACAGGAAAGTCCATGAGACCCTAATCTTCAATTAACCATCAGAAAACTGGAAGTGGCGCTGTGATTCAAGTGGTAGAGCGCTAGCCTTGAGCTGAAGAGCTGAGGCACAGCGCCCAGGCCCAGAGATCAAGCCCCACAACTGACAAAAAAAAAAAAAGTGGAGCCGGGCACCGGTGGCTTACACCTGTAATCCTAGCTACTCAGGAGGCTGAGACCTGAGGATCACGGTTTAAAGCCAGCCCGGGCAAGAAAGTCCATGAGACTCATATCTCCAACAAACCACTAGAAAACCAGAAGTGGCGCTGTGGCTCAAGTGGTAGAGTGCTAGCCTTGAGCTGAGGAGCACAGGAACAGCGCCCAAGCCCAGAGTTCAAGCCCCATGACAAACAACAACAACAAAAAAGTGGTAGACCATTAGTCTTGAGTGAAAGAGCTCAGGGACATCACCTAGGAACTAGGTTCAAGTGTTATGACTGTCAAGAAAAAAAGAAAAGAAAAGAAAAATAGCCAGGCATGGTGGCTCACACCTGTAACCCTAGCTACTAAGGTAAGAATCCCAGATGAGACTTTATCTCCAATGAGTCAGCAAAAGAAAGCTGGACTGGACTGGAGGGGTGGCTCAAGTGGTATACGGTCAGCCATAAAGGAAAAAAGCAATGGGGAGAACTAGGCCTTGAGTTCAAGCCCAGTACTAGCACACACATCACACACACACACACACACACACACACACACACACACAGAGCAAAAGAAAAGTAGATATAGATATATAGATATATGTTTGCGGCTGTGAGCTTATCTCCTCTCCCACCACAAGGACATGGCTAGAAGGTTCTATCTATGAAGAACAGGCCTTTGACAGACACCCAGTCTGCTGGTACCTTGATCTTAGACTTCATGAGTTCCAAAACCACAAGCAACAACAACAACAAAATATATGTATGCGGGGCTGGGAAGGTGGCTCAGTGGTAGAGTGCTTGCCTTGCATGCTCGAGGCCCTGGGTTTGATTCCTCAGCACCACATAAGAAAAAAGCCAGAAGTAGCGCTGTGGCTCAAGTGGTAGAGCGCTAGCCTTGAGCTGAAGAGCTGAGGGACAGCGCCCAGGCCCAGAGTTCAGGTCCCACGACCAGATACCCCCCCAAAAAAATATATATATGTTGTGTGTGTGTGTGTGTGTGTGTGTTTATAAATTACCTGCTCTAAGCAGCCCACATGTCCTAACATGGGGCTTCCAGATTCTTCCCAATCCTGAAGTTCTCACTTCTCACCAGTGCATTGGCCCTTCTACTCTCTCCTTCCTTTCCTGAAGTCTGTCAGTAACTCTAAGCCCAGGGATTTCTCATTGCCCTGCCTGGGTAAACCCTATGATCATCTTGCTGTGTGGCAGCTCTGAGTTGCGGCAGACTCCCCCTCAGCCAGGTGCTCACATGCTCCCAGCAATCCTGTTTCCTGAGCCCCAGCCTCTGCGGCTTTCCCAGGTCTCCTCTCCATCCCCTCATTCCACACCCACAGGCATCTCCCTACCAGTCTTTTCAGAAAGGAGAAGCTGACACGTAAATTCTCATTTCCAGCCCCCAAAGCTTCCGCTCCTCCACCCTGCCCTCAAGTCAGCTTTTCCTGCTTGTAGTCAGAGGACCCCTCCTTGCAACAGAAACACCCCAGTCTCATACTGCTCCTCCTTCCTCTAAATCCAGTCACCTTCTCTTCTGGATCCTTCCTTACAAGTGCCAAAAGACTTAAACCACCCTGATCTAAAATAACATCAAAGGGGCTGGGAAGGTGGCTCAGTGGTAGAGTGCTTACCTTGCATGCATGAGGCCCTGGGTTCGATTCCTCAGCACCACATAAGCAGAAAAAGCTGGAAGTGGGGCTGTGGCTCAAGTGGTAGTGTGCCAGCCTTGAGCTGAAGAGCTGAGGGACAGCGCCCAGGCCCAGAGTTCAGGCCCCACGACTGGTGAAAAATAAAAATAAAATAAAATAACATCAAAGCATCTGTGAGGCCCTGGCTGCTGCACTGTCTCTCTCCTCCAAAGGTCTTGAGTGGAAAATTCACA